CTTGCCCATCCTCTTCACTGTGAGCTGCCAGCTGGTGACCCGGAGAATCAGCGGCACCGAGAAGAAGACCGAGTGCCGAGGGACCAAGCACAGCCAGTGCGAGAGTCACTTGAACTGCACCATCATCGGACTGACCATCATCTATGGGCTCTGCACCACCCCTGAGAATGTCTGCAACATCGTGGTGGCCTACATGTCCCCCGACATGTCCAAGCAGACCTTGGACCTGCTCAACCTCATCAACCAGTTCTTCCTATTCTTCAAGTGCTCGGTGACGCCCATCCTGCTCCTGTGCCTCTGCAGACCCCTGGGCCAGGCCTTCATGGACTGCTGCTGCTGCTGCTGCGAGGGCTGCAGCCCCGACACCTCCAGCGAGGGCAGCGCCGACAGCAAGCTCAAAACAGAGATGTCCTCCTCCATCTTCTTCGACAAGCCCCGGGAATCCCCTCCACCCCTCCTGGCCCTCGGCACACCCTGCTAAGTGCCACCAGGGAGCTGTAGAGATCGATCCACCACCTCCTCCCAAGACCAAACGTTTTGCCATTAGTGCCCGTGTCTGGACGTGGAACAAGCAGAAGAGACAGCTCAGGGGGCTGCACCGTGGGGTTCAAACCCCACGTTGGGCAAGTGGGGCTTGAAACCCCGGCCCCCGTGGCTACATTGGCGGCCTTCTTGCCTCTGCCCAAAGGCCAGCAAGGACATCAGCGCCCTCCCGTCCTGGCTGCCTGGCCAGGCTCAGAGGGGTTGCTGCTCTGGTGATGGAGTTGTGCCAGAAAGGTCCCATCTGAAACTATGGAGGGTTTCCATGGTGGCTTGCAGAGGACATAGCAAACAAACTGCCCTCGTCCTGTCCCATCCCCTCCACAGTAGGAGAAGGTCCCAGTGACTATATCCCACCAGATCCAAGCAGTGCCCTGTAAGAGCTCAATAAACCAGTAACCTAGAGCACATCGCACGTGCAGCCGTCCGGCACCGCCGAGCAGAGCCCCAGGGAGCCAGCGCTTGGGGCTTGGATGGCTCTTCCCTAAAACCTGGGGGCTCTGGGGTGGGCATGAGTAGTTGGGGAGGGGGGCACGAGGGCAGGAAAGCAGCTGTGCCAGGTAAGGCAGCACCTAAGGGCGATGGGGAAAGGCCCCTCTGCCCCACTCCCTCTGGGGTGATGCTGAGCGAGCTGGTGCCAGGCCAGCCCGTGGGAGGGCCCCCTCCAAAGCAGCGGGCTTGGGGTGGTTTGTAGGACTCAAACTGGTCCCAGTAAAGCCCAGCCAGCCCAGCACTGGACTGAGGTGCTCCGTGGTCTGCAAGTTAGCCGTTTCCTCACCTGCACGATGCAGGACTAAGGTGCTGCTGTGCAGTGCTGGGGTGGGGTGGGGGGATGCAGGACCACCACCCCCAGCACCCCTTGGGGAGCCAAGGAGGTGAGCACGTCTCATCCAAATAGACCTGTGCAGGACTCCTGGCCTTCATTCACCTGCCCATCGCAGGGACACAATTGTCCCAGAATGATAGTTTGAGGGTATCAAGGTTTCCAAGCCCCACATCCACCCCCTGCCCAAGGCTCCTGCACCCGGGGGGGCTTTGGGGAGCAGCCAAGGCGGTGGGATTGGGCTGAGGACAGGCTGGCCACACCGGCCCCGGCCACTGGAGCTGTTTAAGCTACTTGTGCTG